TTGGCCACGCTACACCACATTTGGTTGATGTCTGTCCCAGTTGTCTGAGGAACACGGTGTGAGCTGAACTGGTACATATCCTGGGAAAGCATCACATGTCGGAACCAGAAGAAACGCCAGGCATGAGAGTCTTATTTTCACAGGTGTGGAAACTGAACAGAGAAAGGGGGCTTGCCTAGGGACTTCTGGGTTCATTGGAGTCCCTTAACGTTTTTGCTCATTTTTAGTATTCTTGACTAGTTTTCTTTTCTCTTTGTGCCTTCCTCCCTTCCTCTCTGTCACCCTGCCTTCTGTTTTTGATGCTTCCAGATGTACTTTTCTCTGAGTACCTCCTGACTAGTGATAGCTTCCACATAGGATGAGACAAAAGATGGCACCCTCTGACTTCTGGCAGCCAGAACATGCTGGTGGCCCAAGCCTCAGCAGACCTGCAGACTGCGGCTAGGAAGGAGGGGGTGGGGCTTTGGAAATAGTGCTTTTAGGTAGAAGCAGGCTTCTGAGCCTTTCAGGCCTCCAGGCCTCCTTCTACATTGTGCGGATTTTATATGCTTGGAACACATCCCGTGTTCTACCCAAGACGACCCCTTCACATTGTAGATTCTTTTGAAATAGCATGGATTCTGGAGCGGATGTATTTCCTGCCTAGCATATAGCCCCCCTATGACTCACCCCCTCCACCAAGAGCCTGAAGTCTTATACCTGCCTTCATTCCAGCACCTCTTAGGTTGCATTATAATCATTGTTTTACTTGTTAGGGTCTCACTGGGCTGCGGGTTCTTTTTTTTTTTTTTTTTTTTGAAGATTTTATTTGACAGAGACACAGCGAGAGAGGGAACACAGCAGGGGGAGCGGGACAGGGAGAAGCAGGCTTCCCGCCGAGCAGGGAACCGGATGTGGGGCTCGATCCCAGGACCCTGAGACCATGACCTGAGCCGAAGGCAGACGCTTAACGACTGAGCCACCCAGGAGCCCCTGGGCTGTGGGTTCTTGAAGGCTGGACCTCTGCCTTGTTCTGTCTGGCCCTTTCCCTTTCTCACCCTGGTGTCTAGTAGGCACAAACATTGTTGAATAAAGATATCTTGGTATTTTACTCACAGAACTCACTCCCTCAGAATATCTAAAAAGATTTTTTTTAAGTTTTATTAAAAGCATATGATTATCTTGAAATTATAGGGTTCCCCCTGCCCCCCGCTTTGCTTTTCTGCAACGATGATGTCTTACTTGAGTCATAACTCTCAGAAAGGACCAGTCCACTAGCCGGAGCTGGGCGGTGTCCGCTGCCCTGCAGCACCAGCTCGCGGCCGCGCCATGGTGCCAGCCAGCCAGCTGCACTGACAGCCCCGCCAGAGCGCCTGGCAGACACGGAGGGACAGATAACCAGGCACAGGGCGGAGAGCCTCTGACGCAAACTGTCTGTCCTCTCCCGCCCAGCTTAAACCAGGACAGACTCCACCGACGGGGACTTCATGCCCTTTACTGATACTGGCACTTTCTCTTCACACAAGCACGTGTTGCCACTCCTCTGAGGGCCAGTGGCATTTATGTTTACGTTCGGCTCGTCCCCTAACTGCAGCCGTCTCCTTGCAGCCACCCCAGAACCCGGAGAAGCCGCAGCCGTGTGGACCGGCCAGCACGAGCACTTCTGGAGGAAGGACCTCAGTGAGTTGGCTAGCTCAGGTAGAGCCTGTTTCCCTGTTGTTTTCCTTGGCCATGAAAACAGTGATCCTGAGGAATCTGCATCCCTGTGGTCACGCCTTGTTGGGGAAGAGTAAGCTGAAGTGCTGGTGCGGAAGCTGGTGAAGGCAGGCGGGCAATTGGCCTCTGCTCAGAGGTGGCGCCTGCAGGAGAGCGGCCTCTGGAGGAAGGTGGGGCGGGGGGCGGGGCGGGCCTGTGGCTATAGCGGTTAAGTGTGTGAGATCAAGGATTTAATTACCACTTGCCCAGAAAAGAGGAATAGAGGGAAGAATTTCCATTTAATTTTGGACATGAAATTTGAGAACTATTCTAAGACAAATATCAGTAGGAATTTGGAATCAGATCAATGATGGTTTCTGTAGGGGCAAATTTCCGGTGCTAAGATCTCCAGCTAAGGATGTGTGGGAACCCAGGAGGATTCAGCTTTGTTCGCAGACTTGCTTTCAGACATTCCTCTCTCCCCTTGCAGTTTGCTGTTACCAAAGAATCCCACAAAACCTATTCATTCAAACTCAGGGTTTCTTGATGCCTGCTCTGCTGGGAGCTCCTTGAGGCCTGTCTTCTCACGGCGTTTCCCTACTGCGCCCGACAACAGCTTGTGCCTTCCATACAATTCTGCATGGAAATCATCAATATTCAAGGATGAATTTTCTTCGGAGAGAGCACGTACGAGCCAGGGGAGGGGGAGAGTCTCAAGCAGACTCCATGCTAAGCGCAGAGCCGCCCAACATCGGGCTGGATCCCATGACCCTGGGATCCTGACCTGAGCCAAAACCAAGGGTCGGACGCTTAACTGACTGAGCCAACCAGGCGCCCCTGAATTTTCTTTTTAATGTATTTATTGAACTGTGTTAACAGTGGTATAAAACAGGAAACATTGGTGTTTTCTCCATCTGGCTTACCACTAACTCAAAATAAACGGTCATAGAACTAAAAACTTAAGAGCTGGGGTACCTGGGTGGCTCAGTCGGTTGGGCGGCTGCCTTCGGCTCAGGTCATGATCCTGGGGTCCTGGGATCGAGCCCTACGTCTGGCTCCCTGCTCGGCGGAGAGCCTGCTTCTCCCTCTCCCTCTGCCTGCCACTCTGCCTACTTGTGCTCTCTGTCAAATAAATAAAATCTTTAAAAAAAAAAAAAACTTAAGAGCTAAGAAGACTAAGAGTTCATGTCTATTTCTTTTAATAACACAAGTAAGCACGACCAAACTCCCCCCCCAAAAAACCTAAAAACCTCTTTGTCCAGCAGCAGATCAAACTCTATAGTGCCCCAGTGTAGCCTCATATTTGCTTTGTGGCTAGAGGTTAATAGAATGAGTGGCTGAGGACAGGAGAGCCACAGAAAACATGGAAACAAGGCAGGGTGTGATATCCTTCTTCAGGAAATGTCAGTTGCTATAAAAAGTGTATCTTAGCCTTATTTACATAGTATGGAACCATGTAAAAACAAGAAGAAGCACCAGGCTGGCAGCTCAGATATGTTACTCGTTTGCTCTAAACTTCTAGACAAGTCATTCCATGAATGTAAGTGGGTAAAACATTTTGGAAATCAATTTAGCAATATAGATCAAATTTAAAGTTCTATTTTATTACCTATAATTCCATTTCAACTACACAAACATGCGTATATAAGGATGCCCTTCATAGTGATGATCACAGAAACAAGACTGGAAACAACATAAATGTTCACTAATAGGATACTAAGTGGTTTTAAGTGTGGTATAAACACAGTGGCTCTTGGGGCGCCTGGGTGGCTCAATCAGTTAAGCGTCTGCTTTCGGCTCAGGTCATGATCCCAGGGTCCTGGGATCGAGCCCCGCATCGGGCTCCCTACTCGGTGGGAAGCCTGCTTCTCCCTCTCCCACTCCCCCTGCTTGTGTTCCTGCTCTCGCTGTGTCTCTGTCAAATAAATCAATCTTAAAACACACACACACACACACACACACACACAGTGGCTCTCACTGGAGAGCAGGGCTCCATGTTACTTTCATGTTCTTCTTTCTAAGTAGAGTCTGAGAGGCTGGTTTGAATTTAGAAAAGTAAATGTCTATTACAGATAGATAGTTTCTAGAGAAATATCAGTTGTAGACACACACACACCAAATCATGCCATCCATAGAGAGGGCATAAAACCGCCTACGTAGGAGAAGGAGCGTGAGGCGTCAAAGCAGCAAACGTAGAGAGAGGGAACACTGCCGAGCCGGAGCCCACAGTATCACCTGAGACTGTGGATCCAGTGTCACCGTATCTTCCAGATTGCCAAGCACTGTCAGACTTTCATTTGAACTCTAATATCTAAATATTAGCAACTTACTCAACTGGTTTTAAAACACTGCAAGTTACCAAAGACATACAGATGGCAATTAAGCAATTGAAAAACTTGCTCGACACTATGTGACCTCATTTATGACATTCTGGAAAAGGCAAAGCTATAAGGTATGGAGAACAGATGAGTGGTTGCCAGGGGTTAAGTGTTTGACAACAAGAGTGGAGGTAGTGTGAAGAAATTTTTGGGGGGGGGGCGCGTGGGGGGGTATGGAAATGTCTGTCTCTTGATTGTTGTGATAATTACCATGCTTCTCTCCCTGTCAAACTTCATGAATAGGACTGGAAGGAGACATGAGTTAATTGTGTCCTTTGATAGGTCAGTTTGTGACTTCTCTTTATTACATTCAAAACCCACTTTCCACATGGTGAACTGTTCACATCCATCCATGAGGTGGGAAAGATGAACAAAGCTAGTGCATTTCATTCATTGACAACTCTATCAATCCACAAAATGTTAGCACAGTATTCTTCATTAAAGTAGGATCTTAACTTTGTAAAACATTTCATTAATACATCTGAAATACCTAGGGCTACAAGTTGATCTCACTTCCTATGTATATTTAGAAACATTATCTAAAGGAACCCTGTAAAGCTTATAATAAGCACTAATTTTTGGTGTATGTTTCCCTAATATTTCCTTAAAGCAAAGTTTTTCTGTGTTCTATTCAGGCTGTTGCTTTTGGCTATAATCTCTAATAAACTACTCTTCTGAAATCCCCACAGTCTCTCCTGGTGTCAGAGGAGCGGCCCCCGGTCCGTGAACAATCTGCGTGGGACACGGAAGAGTTAGGCCCCTTTCTGCGCTTGTGCCTCATGGATCAGAATTTCCCTGCGTTTGTGGAAGAGGTGGAAAAGGAACTCAAAAAGCTGACAGGGTTGAGAAATTAACACTCCACATACATACAGAACGAAGGAAGTTGAAAGCACTGAAAATGTGCTTCCTCTTAAGATTAGATACAAGAATAAAGAGTATTATTCCAGACACCTTTTATCAATGTTTTATTTTTAAAAACAGGTGAATCCACTTTTTTATACATCATTGCACTTCAACACTTACACAAAACACCAGTACATGCATCTATGGTTACATACCGCAGGAGAACCCTGCCGGGCGAGAAAATCTACACTCAGCCGTTAAATTAATGTGAAAAATACAGTGTCAACCCTGGAGGAGAACGAGTTGCATAGAATACCATGCGAGAACATTTCAAGGTCATTGAAAACAAAAGGTAAATTATAAAAGTTTGCCTTCATTGAATGTACAATAAGGTTCAACACATCAGTGCAAAAGGATTTAAGAATTTACATGATTTAACAAAAGAGAATCACTTAAAAAGCAATCGTACATATATACTGCAATTCAATATATCCATTCAGTGGAGTGTTCCAGCTTCTTACCAAAGTCGTAGGTTAAGCCCTTAGAACTATAGATTTCAGTTTATATTATTCATCTTTATGTACCAGAACTGCATGATTTCCTCATCTGACAACATACAATAATGAATGAATATCGGCAGCTAAAAAAATGAAACAAGCATTTATTTTATTTTGGATTTCTCCCACCCCCAAAAATATAAATATATATATATATTTATATACTGTATATATCTGCAGGTTTTGCTGTTCTTTACAAAAATGTCATCACTAGACGGCAGCAGTGCACCTGAGAGCTGTGCCAATTTAACAGCTGCATTAAGTAGAAAATGGCGCATGCACGATCCGATCCTCAGAGGACCTTTTCACTTCTACTTAAATATTTTAACAAAGGGGGGCAAAAAGCAACATTCACAGCACATCAAGCCCAAAATAGTTTACACCTTCTACACTGAAGCATTGTTTAAAATGTACCTGACTAGGTCACCCTTACAGGAAAGGCTAAATAAGGCATGCTTTAGACAGTCATTGTGGTGCCGCTCACTTGAAAGGGGAGAGAACCAAAGAGGTCCAAGCAGAAAATTTAGCAGGTCATGTTGCCACCAGTTTCAGGAACCTAAAGATCTGTGAAGAAAGAGTATGTGGAGATTAAAAGGGAATATGCACTGTCACTTAAGACTACACCAAGTGCCACATCAAACAAAGCTTTGGTTCAGAAAGCATGCTCAGGGATGTGGTGTGAAATTCTGATCTCCATGTGCCTATGTGGAAGGCACTCCGGCCCGGCTGTGCCCGGCCTCCATTCTTGCCTTGCCCTCACAAGCAAAGTGGAATTAACTGGCCTCTGGGAATAATCCACCTAAGGTGACAATTTTTACCTCTTTTTTAAAAGGTATGGTTAAATAGTGGTGCAAGGTCTTTCTTTTTAAAACACCATACATATACTGAAATGGCATTTATAAAAATATGTGGAACAACATAGCTGAAAACGTTCCTTTCCAGCTGCTGCACTGGATGGAGGACAGAGACCGAACTTGGTCCATCAGTAGCGTCTGCTCTGAAATGAACTACAAGATCCCACAACAGGACGCCAACTACTGGAGAATCTGTAACAAGGTCAATAGAGGCACATTCATTTGAATATAATTTTTAAAATTTCTAAAGAAGGCCATACTTACATTATAAGCAGTATTTAATTTGTGTTTCTCTGGCGTAAGTTTTTATCTTTGTGATTGTTGGTAGAGTTGGTTTTCCTTTGGAGGAAAAATGGCATTATAAAAGTTAAAGTCAGTAGCAACTCTTGAAATTTAACACATGGAAATACAGGGATTCTTTCACTTACTACCATCCCTGGTGTAATAAATTTTACTGCACATTGGTGTGTAAAAATATTCCTTCTATAAAGTGCCTACAGAGCTTCGCTTAATCCTTTTGACTCCCAAGACAGACAATATACAGGTACCTTTCCCTCTGATTTATAGACTGTAATTACTTGTAAAGGTAAAAACAGTAGTTTCTTCTCTACTGAACACTACGGTCTCTTCTCAAATGATAAAAGATGATCGCATATGGGCACTTAACCAATTTGGGCACTGGTTGCCTGTCTCTCCCTCCTTAGTCCCCAACTCTAGGAGGTTCTGCTTATCTGGGATGGATTCAGAACTCACAGGACCATCTGTCTTGGATACATGCAACTGTTAACGGAGCCGGGCAGGTTATCCATGCTATAGTACAGCTTGAAATGAACAAAACTGGAAGTCTCTGATATACAGGTGATTTCCCCCGCATTATCAATTTAAGCATCTAGGATGTGGAAAACTTTAAGCAGTCTCTTGCATGGCATTCCACTTGATATTGTTACTAAAAACAAAACTGCACTGCCTGTCCTGGGAATCAAATGGCTGTCAGTCAGCTCCCCGACCGTGCGGCTAGGGAGGTCTACACTACGACACTCATTTCCACTCATTGGCTCCCCACGACCTTTGCTACTCCATTCGATTAAACTGCAAATACAAAATACAACAGAAACTACTGAATCAATGTCCAATAAAGTACTTACATTGGCCCAGCTGGTTCATCGTCTATAAGGTGTTCAGTTTTTTAATAATCCATTGAGAGGAGAAGAAAGGAGAAAATCGTGAGACTCTACATAAGAATGAATAGAACAGCAAATGGCAAGTGGCAAACATGGCTATTCATAGCATTTATTCAAGGCCATTCCATCTGGAGGTGCAAAAACACTCATGGAGTTATTACTTCTAGATTCAAGTTTTTAATGGCAGGTATGTTGTTTCAATGGTTTTAGTTAACACTTTGAATGCTTGTCATGAAAAACTGCAACTGGAGCGGACAGATAGGCTGCAATATCGTTATACTCATCTTGTCCCCAAGTTCCAGTGGTTCACTCTTAAATAGATGAGAAGACAAACCAACATCTCAGTTGTAAAATCCTGCTGTTTGTTTTCTTGTGGTGAATGCATGCACAGTTTTGGCTCAATCCTACAATGTAGATGGATGTGTATGTTCTATACATTTAGCCACACATCCTCACTTCCCCAAAGGACACTGTTCTTGCTCTTTTGTAATCTTTAGCAGAGTCTTTAGTCTGGAGAAGAGATTGAGGAAGAGGAAGCCACAATAGTTCAACCTAATACTGGGTCAGCCCGGCTGGGCTATGCCAGCAACAAGTGTATGCATGCCAGAAGATGTTCCGTGACACACCAGGGAGAGCTGAATAGTGGTGACATCCCCCTAGAAAAGACCTCAGACAGAAAGACGGGCTCAACTCTTGAGCCCTGGCCAAAACCAGCACCCAAATCCAGATGAGCCATGAGATTTTTTTTTTTTTTAAACCAAAAAGCTTATATTATCTGAGTTTAGAAGCCTTCTTAAATTGGTATTTCACAATTCTGATTTGTAAGTTTTTCTTTCCTGTTTGGACTAAGGGCAACTTGGTCCCCTTTAGGCAAGGGTGTAGGTACATGGGATATTTTTTTAAAGAGGCCCACAAAGGGGAGGGAACAAGTAAGTGCTCTTAGTTTTTTTTTCTATTTTACGTAAGTCAGGTAGACTAAATGATTCAGAACAGTTTGGTTTCACCGAAGGCTTCTAGAAAACCTCTCAGCAGGATTCCACAAGGGGGCTTGGTGCACATGAAGCAGTTATGGAGGTCACAGTCTCAGTGTAGGCGTCTGCAGGAGCACGCGTCAGGAGTAATGTCTGTCACAGGGAGACATTGCTCCACCTATTCCTTCGAGGCAACGGAGAGGCAAAGCCACCGCCAGCACACACAGTGACTGGAGCAAAAAAAGATTGAAAAATAAAAACAAAAACAAAAACTAACCACAAACCAATGACTTGTCAGCCAAAACAACAGGCTAGTGACACACCAGTGTCCACAGGATTCTACTAACAACAGTACACTGTCGAACAGGTACAGAGAACAACTGAGACTCAAGGACACCCGAAACATTTGTGTGCTGAGGACGCAGTGGAGATATACGAGACACATCCAGACTGAGACACACAAGCCCAGCCTATGTCTACTCTCAACACAACACCCTAGGCTCTCCGCATCCAGGCCAAGGCAGCTCAGCTACATGCTAGGAACTAAGCACTTCAGGGACTTCAAGGAAAAGACCAGGAGCAAACTTAGAATAGTTTCAGTGCTCTGGCTGTGCACCGGAAAACAGAAAATTCTAAAGCAAGATAACCAACAAGAATATCACCAATCTACTCCCAACATGAAAAGAAAAAGCAGGGGAGAGGAATCGCAACAGCCAAGCTAATCTCCTCAAAGCACCGACCCAAGCACTCTACACGCAAGCTTCTCTTTCTTTTGGTGGCGGAGGGGTAGGCCCTGCTGTCTGCCTGGTGGCGTCATCTCCCAGCCTAACAAGCCGGTAAGGTGCAAAGGGCTGCATGTAGGGGTTTGAGCAACAGCGGCCCCAGTGCAGCTGCCATGCCTGCGAGTGGGAGCAGGTGCATCTAGATCTCCCTTTTTCTCTCTCCCCAGATCCACTCGCACATTTACAAGGAATCCAGAAAAGAGCCTCGTGTCTCCTACTGTCTGGACTGACTCTCTATCTGCAGCACCACTCTCCCTTTACAGGTCAGACCGGGAAAAAAAAAAAAAAGAAAAAAACAACAACCAAAAAACAAACAAACAAAATAACCCAACAACCTGACCCTAACAGGGAAATCAGGAGAGAGGGAAAGAACAGAACTACAGGAAAAAAAAAAAAAAAAGTACAAAAATCAAAGTAAATGAGGATTAAACAGCAAACTGAAATCCAAATTAGTTGTGAAAGTGAATGAAGTAAACTTGAAGAAAAGTGTTAACATTATGAACTGTGCATCGTATAGACTGAAGCGGAGATTAAACAAACTCCAAAAGCATGCATATCGCTCACTTACCACCATGTTTTAAGGGTTTGATGCAATTGAGGGGGGAAAAAAAAGAAGTCATAGTAACCGACAAATATCAACATACCCCCAAACCCTCAGGCCACAAGACAGCGGCTGAAACAATGGCTCTTCCCTTGCCTGGGTATTCCAGCCCCTGGCTAGATAGGAGGACGAGGACTGGGGAGAAGGGAAACGAGATGCTTCTGGAATCCATTTTAGGAGAGTGAAGTTGCGGGTGGATGTGCTAGGGCCCTCGCTCCGCTAGACCCCATGGCCTCATCAGCTGGGAGGGTGCTCTGCGATGCCCAGTAAATAAGGCGTTACCTGAGAGGGGAGCACCTCCAGAAAGACAGCTTTCCAGCCAACGTGACCAAGAGCTGACCCGTCTGGTCAAAACTCCTTTTTCACCGCCTTCATCGCACTGAGGATGGGGTTTTCGAGTTTCTAAACCTGCTTCTATTTTGCCTGATCTCAGCAGAGTAGCATTTAACCAGAGAGAGATTAACGGTCACACCCAGTTGCCTTTCATATTTGGTCCTACTGTATTTTCTCCGTAAGGTAACTTGTTACTGACTCAGATGACCCCTAGAGTTAGGAGACAATGACATGTGTGTTTTGCATGTCATTTTAAAAAGTCACATTTCTTTTCCAGCATTCCTGGCCAGCTGAAAAGCTTCATATGCTCCCAACAGATTTTTTCAAACATCAGAATAGCTCTTATTTGTAGTCTAAAAGAGTTTGAGGGCGCCTGGGTGGCTCAGTCAGTTAAGCGTCTGGCTTCGGCTCAGGTCATGATCCCGGGATCCTGGGATTGAGCCCCGCGTTGGGCTCCCTGCTCAGCGGGATGCCTGCTTCTCCCTCTCCCACTCCCCCTGCGTGTGTTCCTGCTCTCGCTGTCTGTCAAATAAATAAATAAAATCTTTGAAAAAAATTAAAAAATAAGTTTGAATGTATCAGAGCCACTAAAAATGGTTCCCCCCCAAACCCCCAACTGTCTACTCCACCAGTAACTTGAGGAGGAAATCCCTTTGAACTGCTTATAAAAATTAGCCCCCCAAATGTGAAAACAGAAAACTCTTTCTGATGCTGCCACTTCTTTTCTTAAATCAGCTCCTCTTGTTTTCATTTGAGGTCACTAAAATGTCCAGTAGAACTGAAGGCCCCAACAAAGAGGCAGGCTCACGCCACATCTCCCCAGGTGACTGGGGAGGACAGACTTGAAGCGCACGCGCACACACACACACACACACACACACACACACACACACACACACATATCCCTACATCCCTCTCTGGGTTCAGTCTGCAGAGAACCAACACAGGTGTGCGCGTGCGCGCGCGCGCACACACACACACACACACACACACATCCCTCTTTGGGTTCAGTCTGCAGAGAACCAACACAGGTGTGCTCCAAGCATGTGAGCTGTAGGATGGATGGAAGGCTAGGGGGGTGCTGGCTGGACCTAGTCTTTTTAGAAAATTATCATTTTAACATTTTCAGAGAATGTAGTCAAGAGGTGAGTGAAGTGAAAAAAATGAAGCCTCTGATTTGACTCCATGATTCATCTGTTACTGAAAACACTGAGGGCAAAAGGTGATATGCAGATAATCTACCTATAAGACAAACTACTGGGCACCAATCCTCAAAGAAACCACAACAGGGGTTCAAGGGACTTAGTGTGAGTTTCGTTTCTGAAATGTCCTGAGTAGGGCACCTGGGTGGCTCAGTCGGTTAAGTGTCTGCCTTCGGCTCAGGTCATGATCCCAGCCAGGACCCTGGGATCAAGCCCCGCATCGGGCTCCCTGCTCAGCAGAGAGTCTGCTTCTTCTCCCTCTGCCTCTGCCACTCCCCCTGCTTGTGCTCTCTGGCTCTATCTCTCTGTCAAATAAATAAATAAAATCTTAAAAAAATAATAAAATGTCATGAGTAGACTCTGGTAGCCTAAGAGATAGAGCTCTTTTGTTTTTTTCTACTGAAAGTCACTAAACCTTAACTCTAAGCATTTTCTATGTGAGAAATCTAAAGCAGTATTTGCTTTTCTGGTGAAATGTACTCAGACTAAACTCTCTAAGTTCGAATTTGTGCATGTGTATAGTTTTAAATTGTTCACTTAGTGCTTTTCTGGTAAGGGGCTGAGTTTCCAAGAGCTCAGACTGCCCAAATAGGAATGAGTTTTACATGAAATTGTTTCATACAAGAAAAAATTCAGTGACTCAGAAATCCTGTCTACTCTGATAGTAAAGTACCTATTTTGGCAGAGAAAGCATGTCAGGCGTATAAAAAAAAAAAATCCATTTTCACAATGGCATAAATACGTCCACAGCGCCACAGATGGTTATCTGGTAATTCATCACCTCTAAAACTCCAATTTGTATAAGATACGAGGTACCTCTTCCTTCATTCCACAAAGGAGCGCATGCATCTATCTACATGTAGCCTTGGGAAGGGGTAATGTGGGAAGAAAGCATATGAGGAGGCTGCCCTTACATGGACTGCACAGGAGTTGAGGGGAAACTAGCTAGAAAAAAAGCCACAGCATAAGGAAAACTCACTGAGGAACAATCAACTTTTTTTTTTCTTTAATGATTAATTCCAGGAGGACAAGAAATAAAGGGGCACAGGAGCAGGGAGGGGTTTGAGAGGAGGAGGCAGACAAAGGAGAAAACTCTGGGGCGGAAATGCTGGAGCAAGGCAGGGATGTGGAGATGGAGAATGGAGCCTGGACCGCGCTGGCTGTCAGGAAGGGAGCGGAGAGGAGGCGAACACTGCAATAATCCCAGCGTCCCAGGTCTGTCGCCCCAATTCAACAACAGAAAAGTAAATGCTACTTGCATTACAGTTCTTCCAAGAGACCACAGCAAGGAGATTTTACTTTGCACTTACCCATGTCTTTCATGTAGGTGATATGCAGATTGTCTATAATAGTTTAGCTTAAAAGAGGTACCTTGCCTTCAGAAAGCCATTCAGAAGATTTGCTGACCACACAGGTCTCCTCTACCCAACTGGCCACCACTTGAGTTCAAGAGCCATGGAGCTCTAGCTATTTTTTTTTTTTATAACGATAGTTGCTTCCCCAGGCAGGTGTCTGCACTTGTCCAAACCAATACTAACCATTTCTCAAATCTAACCCGAATGTCTTCCACACATGCGGGGGGTGGCGGTGGCAACCTGGTAATAAACAAAGTGGCTTCCTAGGAGGAAGACTGGAACCTCAGATGGGGACATGCTAAGCCAATGTGTCACTCTGCCAAGAAAGTGGAAGCCAGCCTCGTCTTAAAATAAAAAATCAGGTTCTGAAGCCCATCTTTGCCTTTTCCTCTTTGCTTCTCTACCTTTCCAAAGGGAAGGCTGAGCAAGGTGCTGTTTAGCAAAGCAAAAACACTCTGAGGGGATGAAAAGGCTTTGCAGAACTGAGGCGTTTATAACTGCTCCTTGAGAGCCAATGCTGGAAATATAGACAACTTCCCTTGATTCTCAGGCCTAAATATAAGTATTCTGCCTTAGGAATCCTAATCCGTAGCAGGAAGGAGAAAAAACTACAGGAAAAAGCATTATGCGTATGTGAAAATCCCAAGAACACAGTTCACTTCATAGAACAGCAGCTGGACCTAGGCGTGGACCGAGGAGAAGGAATGTAAAAATCCTGGGGGCACACTTCTGCTGCAGGGGACTAGCTCATTTATTTCCACGGGCCCAGTGGCTTCCAGCTGACGTCCCCTCACTCCTCCATCCAGCTCGCTGTGGAAGGAATGTACGCTGGGAGGGAGTCCAGCAGGGCTTCCTTCCTACAGGCGTTGTTAGGTTCAACAACAAACCTTTCCACCAGCCTCACTGTGACACTCTTCTACTTAGGGCAGGCAGAGAGATTTTGGAGGTGCTGAGAAGAAAGGAAAAGAAGGGGAAGAGGCTATTGCTCTCAAACGTGGCCTTCCAGAGAGGCCGAAGCCACCGGGCTACCTTCAGGGCTGCACGCCTCCTGAGAGAGTGGCAGCCGCAGGGACCCAGACAACTCTGTGGGGCGGGCACAGGCCCAGGACAGCCGCACCAGAGTTGGCATCCTCACCATCACCCGAGGCCGGCCTCCACTGAACTGAAGCCCATACCCTTCTCGTACAGTCAGTGACAGGCAAGTGGTGGTAATCGCACTGGCCAATGAATTTGATGGTGATGTTACAGGGCCGAAGGGTGGGAGCTAGTCAGGAAGCTGAGCGTACTACTGGTACAAGTCTCCAGCAGTAGCCACCCCGACTGTAATCCTGGGGTTAGAAATGGAATATCCATGACAAAACAACAACAACAACGACGACGACGAAGACGAAAAACCCCCAAAGATTTCCTAGGACTTTCCTCAAAATCTAAAGATCCAAAAATCTGTAAGATCCTTGTTCTTTCCAACACTTAATAATTCACTACAGTCCTGGTGCCATTATCTAGTCCCACCTCTGGCCCTAAGCCAGCCTGAGGGTGTCACCTTGGGGCATGGGCTCCAGGTGTTGCTGCTTAGCTGTCTCTATCTTAAAACCGGGTGTGGTGGATGCATCAGACTCCACCATTCTCGTGAGATAGACAGAAAAGCCAAACGCTTGGTGCCTGCTTCACGGAGAACCTTGAAAACCTACCAAAGGGACCACCAACCAAGGGAACCAAAGGCTGGCCTGTTCCAACGGCTTTTCTCAAGAACAGTCTGACTGGGCTGGGGCTACACCAGGCAACCATGTGACAACCAATTAGATACCTTAAATCTGCCTGAAAGGCCAGGTGGCCTGCGATCTTGGGGTGGCTTCTAGGCTTGACTTGGATTCTCCTCAAGCTCAATCTGCCTGATGATCTGTATTGAAGGAGGACAGAGCTGAACAAAGAGACTGACAGCTGCCCATTCCCCACACGGGGCCTGAAAGGCAGATGGGACTGGGGCTTGGAGAATACCCAAATGGAAGGACAGAGCTAATTATAGCTCTAGGTGGCTAATCTTAGGAGTAGGGAGTGAGGAACCAGTATGAGAATTCTCCTTCTCTCCTTTAGGGATCGAACCCCAACATTCCTATAGTCCTTTTGGGGTGCTTGGAAACCATCCCAAGGATCCAACCCCAACATTACAGCTATTTTGTAGGGATGCTCTTACCGTCAGGAACTTCATCTGGCCTCTTCCTCTTCTCATACACAACAATGATCACCACAAGGATGATGATTTCAGCCAGAATTCCCAAAAAAGGCCAGAGTGGGGCCAGGTGGCTCCGTACCCTGAGGATGGTGACAACGGAGGCTGAGCCAATGGAGTTGGTAGCATTACATTCATACTCGCCAGGGTCTTCTGTGATCTGGAGATTCATGATGCTCAGCTCAGTGTAATTTTCCTTGTTGATGATGAAGAAGCGGCCAGAGGTATTGACAATGTCCTGCTCAGGGGCAGAAAAAGTAAGAACACACAAAGGTCAAAGTAGGTGAATTTGTGTCTAAGACAAGGTGGCAATGTTCTCCCTTCTTAGCAGGACCACTGGCTGGGATGAGGGAGCAGTGTCTAGGACCATCTTTGTCCAGGTAACTTGTGAGCACTTCATTACTGGCTTTCTTTCAATATCAATTAACAACAGATCAGCAAGCTTCTGGCAGAGCTCCCAGCCAAAGCCTCCCCTGCCGTTGGTCCTCTGGATTTCTCCAACTTCTATGAAGTGAAGAGAAGAAGCCCTACCCTTTGGCCTCAGAAAAGACTGACTCAATCTAGAAAATGCTACTTCAAATACAGGTAAGAAACCATGACACAGGAAGAAGATGGAGAAAGAGGGATGTGACCTCCATGGTCAGGCATATATGCTAACTTCAGGCCTGAGGACTTCAGAATCAGCACATCTACCTCACACTTGCTGAGTTCTGGAAAGTCTCCTTAAACCTCCTCCAGAAACAATGCTAAGAACTTGCTCCTAGTTAGAGTAGAGAAATTCATAACTTCCCTTTTAAAAATGAAAGGGTTAGGGGCGCCTGGGTGGCTCAGATGGTTAAGCGTCTGCCTTCGGCTTGGGTCATGATCTCCAGGTCCTGGGATCAAGCCCCGCATCGGGCTCCCTGCTCAGCAGGGAGTCTGTTTCTCCCTCTTCCTCTGCCTCTCCCCACTACTCCTGCTCTCTCTCTCTTTGTATCTCTGTCTCAAATGAATAATTAAAAAAAAAAAAAAGAAAGAATTAAAGGGTTAAAGGAAAGTTTATTCAATCAACCAACAGCTATTTACTAACGTATACTGTATGTCTCACATCCTACTGAGGGGAAGGTGAGACACAAGTGAATGAGGAGGTTGGCCTTAAGAGGGAACCAGACCATCCAAAGGGATGGTTACAGGAACGTGGCAAGAAGCCCCAACAGACAGCATGTGCTGAGTACTGTGGGGCACAGAGTGAGTGGTCAGTGCCAGAAAGAATCAGGGAGAGCTTCAGAGAAGAGCCAGCTTTCGCACTAGAAGGTGGGGAGGAGAGGTGATCAAGCAGGACAGGAGTGCTCCAGGCCCATGCGGGAAGGCAGAGGTGAGAGTCCACAAGCAGGAGTCCAGGTGGAGCTGGGACAGGCTTACAGCACTGGGGTGATGGCAGGGCAAGAATGGACTCATGTGTCAGCTGTTACACAACAACTAAAGCACAATCAGAAATAGTAGAGAAGAAAGGGGAAGATAACCGCCAGAATGAGGTCTAGTTATAGCATACAGTGGTGCGTGCAAATGAGTGTGGGTATGACTAAAATGGCAAACACAGCCTTCAAAATAGTTATTCCGTGAAGCTTCAACTCGAGGACTTGGAAAGCTGCCAACTTCTCTAACCCCTGCTCTACTGGTTCACTAAGTCCATGTTTTTCACTTATGATCAGAAATGATTAGTGTCTTCTTTGATCCACAAGCCTTCAATGCAGATTTTTTTAATACCATCATATGCAAGAAATAAATAAAATCTTAAAAAAAAAAAAAGAAACTTTAACCTTTCAATCGATGCATAAGAAGATATTGAGTGGGACTTGTCCTACTGCTACAGATTTGATGACTAAGAAGCATCAAAAGTACCCCGTATTCTTGGATCAAAGTACAGCATAGGGAATTGAGTCAATACCATTGTAATAACATTGTATGGTAACAGATGGTGAATACACTTAATCGTGGTGAGCACTGCATTATGTACACAATTGTCAAATCACTATGCTATACACCTGAAACGAATATAACATCATATGTCAATTATACCTCAATAAAAATTTTTAAATATATACATAAATGTTTTTTTAGAAGGATAGCTTTTCCTAATTTAACTTGTACTTAGGAAGTGTTCACATACATTTATAACTAACAGTGATTGATATTTAGGTTTCAGTATCAAGACTGTGTTATCTTACTCATTATATGTTCAAATCTTCCACAATGTTGTTGATTTTCCATTTCATCTGTCAAAGACTAAAAATAATATATGTAAATCTGCCACCATGTAACTGTGCTTCTGGCTATATTTCCTTATTTTTCCAGTTTTTGCTTCATTCATTTTGAAACTCTACTCTACAGACTGGTTTTCAAAGAAGATCATGACAGCTTTGTCTTTATTGGGGATTATATATCTTACCATGATAAAAAGGAACTCTTTTGGTTTCATGTTTTTATTTGAACCTCACTTTCTGTAATGTTAATATTTCCACTTGTTCCATTTATACTTTCACCATATATACTTTATTCATCATTTTTGTTTTAACACTTCTGTCCTATTTTGTTTTTTGTAGATCATCTTTAAGCAACATATCGCTAGACTGTTTCTTAAATCTCTGCCTTTAAGTGAGGATACTTAAAAACTTTGTATTTAATACTACTGTAATTTTTACATTTATTGTCATAAATGATGGCTTACTTTAAAAAAGTACCCCAGAATTCTTAAAAAAAAAAAAAAAAATTCCATACAAATTGGGGGCAGACAGTCCTTCCAGGGCTTATTAAAAGGGAGACCCATCAAGCTATCTTATCCCCAAGTCATCACTACATTACCCCTTGCCAATCTATAAAAGAGAAGACAGGATGAGAGGTGATAGGAAAAGAGTTATACTTGGCATTGCATGCAGCCTTCCACCCTACAGCTGAGTGGAACAGGCACCAAGAGAATCACTCAAAGATTGGGGGTGGCAAGAAGAAAATATCTTTTTCCAGTGGATATCCGTTTATGCAGGAGACCAACTGATGTGCTCTATGCTTCTCAATCTTGGAAAAAGGCTATCTGGAGATAAGGAGGCAGAGGAGCCTATACTCCCACCATGTGAAGAGCCATGATGTTCAAGTTTCCTCTGCCTAAGAGGGTGAGCAGACCCCAGCATCTGTGGCTGGAGCTAAACAGGAAGAGGTTCAGTAAGAGTAGATCTCTGATATCTGAGAACTGGCCCCGTAAAGAACTCACACAAGTTCTTAGAAGATCCAGGGTCTGGATACCTGCCATGCAGAGGCCCCAGAAGCAGCAAAAACCAAGAGTAGACTATAGGAAAAGTCAGATGAGTGACACTTGTCCCCCTTCCTGCCCCATATAGAAGAGAAAAACCCAGAAGACAGAGTGAGGACAATCCCCTGCTCCCCTTGAAGGCTAGGGAGAGGGGAAGGGAGGTAAAACTGGGAATTTTGGATTGGACTGGACTCCATTCTTTAACAAAAAAGAGGTCCAAGAAAGCTATGGGATCTGTCTAGAAAAAGGATCTGTGCTGAAATTAGTGTCTAGAAAAAAAATGCAAGCATTTTATCTTAGTCCTCAACCAAGGGTAGGCTGTTCAACAAACTGGTTTTCAAAGGCATCAACCTAGAAATTGCTTTTCTTTTCCCTATCCCTCTTTCATTAAAAGTTTTCTGCATGGAGCACTGGGTGTTATATGCAAACAATGAATCATGGAACACTACATCAAAAACTAATGATGTAATGTATGGTGATTAACATAACATAATAAAAAAAAAAAGGATAAAAAAAAGTTTTCTGTTTCCCAAATGATTCATAGCTTGGAAGCAAGAGGAAATACTACTTGATTTTAAAGGTTTTTCACAATATAACAGATAATTAAGAGTTCATGGGCATGAGAAGAATAGGAGATGAAAATATCCACTGATGGGGCACCTGGGTGGCTCAGTCGGTTAAGCGGCTGCCTTCGCGGCTCAGGTCATGATCCCAGGGTCCTGGGATCGAGCCCCGAGTCGGGCTCCCTGCTCGGTGGGGAGCCTGCTTCTTCTCCCTCTGCCGCTCCCCGTTTGTGCTCTCTGGCTCTATCTCTCTGTCAAATAAATAAATAAAATCTTAAAAAAAAAAAAAAAGAAAGAAAGAAAGAAAAAGAAAATATCTACTGAGGAATCAAGGGCTCTCCTACCCAGAGACCAATAGAGAGAAATGGGCATTTGCTTGCCAGCAAAATGAAGTATTTTATTGACTTTTCAGGGCCTGCTCTGAAAATACTCAACCTCTCCCTTCCTCATGACCCCTTAATTAATGGGTTTCTGAAATCTAATCATTGTTAATGTTAGAGTCCTTGTCACCACTTGACATATCATTTTTTTTTTTTAAGATTTTATTTATTTATTTGACAGAGAGATAGAGAGAGAGCACAAGTAGGCAGAGTAACAGGCAGAGGGAGAGAGAGAAGCAGGTTCTCTGCTGAGCAGGGAGCTGGATGTGGGACTCGATCCCAGGACCCCAGGATCATGACCTGAGCCGAAGGCAGCCACTTAACTGACTGAGCCACCCAGGCGCCCCTTGACATATCATTATTGAGAGATCATGGAGTGGGAAGAATCATGGACTTGAAATAAAAAAACTGGACTTGACCCTTCCTTGGTTTTGTCACTAATTTACCTTGGTTAATATGTAATCTTTCTGAAGAAGTAGATTAGATTATCTCCTTGGTCCCTTCTAACTACTGACAATCAGAGAGGATGCCTGAGAAGTACAGTGCTGGGCATGCAAGGCCTGGGACAGGAGGAATGGATGACACCCTCTCTGCCAGAAAGAGAGACTGGCAAACATCATGAATCAGAGAGTGAGTGAGAGTCTAAAACTTGGACTCCCTCTACACTATCAAGAACCATCGCACTGAATGGAAAAGATGTTTTCTTTGACCTTTTCGGGAGCAGATGCTGTCATATTTCCAAAGTCCAAGGCTGCCCTTGCACCTCACCATGTTGCCTCAATCCCTCATCAGTACTCCCTGTGTTCCTGGAATATACTATACTAGTAATTGCCCTCGTCGCCTTGTCTTCCCCCAAAACCAGAAAGGTGTATAAGGACTACTTCAAGAGGAATATTTTCTTTAGGACAAATGGACTAGAATAATAAAAAAAAATTAAGATTGGGGTTAGCTCAGGCACCGGGGTGGCTCAGTCATTAAGCATCTGGGTCCTGGGATCGAGCCCCGCATCGGGCTCCCTGCTCGGCGGGAAGCCTGCTTCTCCCTCTCCCACTCCCCCGGCTTGTGCTCTAATAAATAAATAAAATCTCTCTTTCAGTTTTCCATCTTGAAGGCAAACCGGTCTAACCTCTTTGCAGACAGCCAGCTTTAACAAATCATGTAGGGATTCCATGCTGGACAAAGACTGTCGGTAACCTCCAGATTCATAATGTAACCATTTGTGACTAGAAAGGATGACTGACCCAAGCCATGCTGGTATGGCAGGTTACAACAACTGGTCCAGATGTCTGGACCTCCCAGGAGAAACTCCAGCAACCAGAGACCCAGGTAGAGAGAATCAGAGCTGCCTCCTACTCACCATGGGCATACCATTCTCCTTCTTGCGCCAGATCCACTCTGGGTGTGGGTAGCCAACTGACTTGCAATACATCATGGCATCCTGCCCTTCATTCTTATTCTCACTCCGTTTATGGCCAGTGATGTCAGGAGCAGCTGTGAGAAAGAGTGTTGAACAGTTACCACAGGAGCCTACTCTGAACAGGATACAAAGGCCTCACCTACAGACTCAAGAGCTCTCCTTCTAATACAGCCAGTCAGTCTCCAGGCCTCTCCTCATAGTCATCTTTGATAACATGCATTTCAGGTCAGAACAGAGCAATGGAACCGATCCAATCCCCTACACCTCCCACCCACCGAAGCAGCTCAAGCAGGTACCAGGATTACTGTATGTGAAGTTCTGCTAACAATGTAGGTGGTTCTCTAACCTCCTAGAAGAGGGGACACAGGCTCAACTGCCCTAAATTAAAACATCCTTTAAAAAAAAAAATGCACATAGAAGCTATTATCATCTCCTCTTCCAGTTATGGTTTTTTCTTAAAATGTCTGCACTAATAACAGTTATGGATTTTATCAAATGTCATATACTTCTTTAAGGAAATGAGAGATCCCTAAGATCAAACACCTAAAATCAAGTCCTACTGCAAAGTATGTAAAAACAATGAATGCCTGGAGAAGCAATCTGATGAATATAAATGGGCAAGGCTCTCCCCGGAAAGAGGGAATCCAGCAAACTGGTCTTCACAAGGGGTAAGAAAGGAATAAACAGGAAATTCAACCAGTGTCCCAAAAGATATTATTAACAGTTTTAAGAATCTGACCTGTACACCTGATTTGCAATAATCTCAATAAACCCAGTCTTGGGGGAATTTCTAGACATGCTAGATGTTGCTGGTCTTCTCTGCTTTAAGGGATCACTTAGGAAGAAATAGCACCTATGGTTTAAAAATTAGATAAGTTTCAAGGATCCAAGAAGCCAGAGATGGGGGCTAATTCTTTGAATTTAGTCTCCTTTGATTTTAACTAAATTTTCCACCATATCTCCTCACCAGTTACAGTAATGTGAAAGCAATAAAACTCAAAGTAGGCCAGATGTCACTTTGTTGGCCAAGATAGGAAAGAGAATCAATAAGCCTGGTTCAAATTCCAGTTTTGCTTGTTCTTTAATTATTCTGTGCTTCAGTTCTACACCCGTTATCAAATGAAGGTACTTCTAGCCCCTGCCTACATCCAGTGTCCTTGGATAAGGTAAGATTTAAAACATTCATCTTGAGACTATAAAAGCCTATACCATTATATGTCATGGGCTTGTCCCATGTTCCCCCTCTAAATAGCTTGGTTTTTCTTTGGCTTACAAAATAATCCAAAGTCCTGCTACTTCTCAGACTGTGCTTCCCAGCCCACTTCCAGAGGCACCTGGACAGAAATGGGATGAACAAGGTCCCAAGCTGTCTCTATAACCACTGCCTGCCCAACTGACACCTGCTCGGTACTACTCAGGGTGAGGCGTTTTCTGAAGAGGATGTTATAAAGGAAGTATCTCTTTTTTCCCCCGGCAAACTTCCTCACTGGCAGAAGGGAGTGGGCCAGCTGGCTCAGCCTTGTTCCCTCCACACCAGATTTCTCCCAAAGCCACTTGGTCACTGCTCAGACCTACTGTTCCACCTGCTCACCCTTCCTCAGAGCTTTCTTCAGTCAATAAATAGTAAAGACCATCTGAAGTACTCCAAGGAGCAAGCTCCCTGGCAATACACTAACTAAAACACCATCAGGGAAGACACAACAAGCAGAGGAGCTACCACAGTTTGCTTCTAGTTGTGTTTCATGTGTCTGACAAACATTTGTCAAGCACCTACCATATGCCAAATACATCAGAGTGGGGGGGGGACGGCCTTTCTGTTAAGGTGGATTTTAGCACAGTCATAAAGAAAATAAGGGAGTAGCGTACTCCTGGACCTGTGGGAAGAACACTCCAAATAAAAGACAAAAAAGCCTTGAGGCAGAGGTGTCTTTGTTATGGACAAGCATGGAGGAGTTTGGCTTAGGCTCAGTAAGCAAGGCAAAGATAGGACATGAAATCAAGAGTGAATGAGCCCAGATCGAATAGGACTTTGTAGGCCACCGCAATGACTTTGGCATTTACTCTAAGTCAGCTAGGAAGCCACTGGTAAATACCAAGCACAGGTATGGAATGATCTACATGTTTTAACAGGCTCCCTCTGGCTACTATGTAGACAACCGTGTACAGAGACAACAGTGGAAGCAAGACCATTTAGGAAGCTGTTAAGAATAATCCAGGCAAGGGAGACGGTGGTTTGAATGAGGGCAGTAGCAGTAACAGTGGGGAGATTCTGATATATTTTATAGGCTGAGTTAATGTATTTGTTAATCGACTGGATGCGGGATGTGAGAGAAAAAAAAAGAGGGATGACTCCAAAGCTTCTGGTTTGACTAATTCTAAGAAGGGAGTTGCCAGTTACTAAGATAAGGAAAACTACAAAAGAATCAGGGTGTGGTTTTTGTTGTTGTTGTTGGCTTGTTTTTATTTTGTTTTGTTTAGGGATGGAGCAATGGTGGTGGTAAAAACCAGGAGTTCAAAGTTTAGGACATGTTAAGCTTAAGATACTTCTTTAACATCCAAGTTGTCAGGTAGACAGCTGAATATCCAGTCTGAAGCTCAGGAGAGTAGTCTAGGACGGAGATGTAAATTTTAGAAATCAGCGTATGTGTGACATATTTTTCCATTTTCATTCTCCTTTGCCCCACAGAGAATACCCACTCTGGCCCAGTTATCTAACTAATTCCAATAGTTCTGTGAATTCAGTACCATCAGCTTTTACCTTGGGGACTCATCCCAATATTGCACATTCGTACCACTTAAAAGGCTAAAAGTTGAGTTACCTTATGATGCCACAGCCTCTAAGAAGTTGCTATTCGGAAAGGATGCAGACCAGAAGGCCAAGACCTGAGGAGAGGGACGGGGATGGTCTTCACTCCTACCGTGGTGTTTAGGAGGAGAACACCACTTCCCCTTTTCATTTATCTACTTTGGTAGTCTACAGAGACTTCTATTTACAGATGTGAACATGGCCTTAAAGGCTACTATGCACAGAGACTCTCTAGGAACTCAGCTACCCTCATCACACTTTGTTGGCCATATTTACATAGTGTAAACCTATAGGAAAGAGTCTTCAATGGTTAGATCTATTACTGCTTTCTCCTCAGCTTAGCAAAGAATACTGAGTGAAGAAGTGTCACTAGTATTGTGGGACCCAAGCCACATCACTCTATCCCTAAGGGAGAGATTATAACAACTATTACTTTAGCCTTTGAGTCAATGAAAAGTTTTTTTCACTTCTATCCTTTATGGTAGTTGCTTAATCAGAAAGCCTGTTCCTCAGATGGTAGCCACACTTGTGGTGAACATTGCATGATGCATAAACTTGTCAGATGACAAGGCTGTGTACCTGAAACTAATGTAACACTGTGTGTCAACCAAAAAAAAAAAAAAAAAAAAAAAAAAAAAAAAAAAGGTTGGGGGGGCGTGGAGAAAGAAAAGTTGAGCAGGACAATGGACCCACAGCAAGAAAGGTCACCAGACTCAGGGTACACATAAGCACTGGTAAGACAGTGGGGCGGGGGGCGGGGGTCAGAGTCCTCTCATTGTGGTTTTTATTTTTTTTTAATCTTTTTTTTTTAAGATTTTATTTATTTGAGAGAGAGAATGAGATAGAGAGAGAGAGCATGAGACAGGGGAGGGTCAGAGGGAGAAGCAGACTCCCTGCTGAGCAGGGAGCCCGATGCGGGACTCGATCCCGGGACTCCAGGATCATGACCTGAGCCAAAGGCAGTCGCTTAACCAACTGAGCCACCCAGGCGCCCTCACTGTGGTTTTTAAATAGTCTCCAAAGTCTTTGATATTCTTCCCTTCAACAAGTGAAGCGTAACTGCTCCCTCCCCTTGAGTGTGGCCTAGTGACAGTATTCTAATGAATGAATGAACGAATGAAATAAAGCAGAAGTAAAGGTATGCGACTTTGGAGAGTTCACAAACGACCATGTGGCTTTCTCCTTGCTCCCTCCTTCTCCTTGCTCCCTCTCGGGTCACACATTCTGGGGAAGGTTATAGCTGTCATAGCAGGAGGACACTGAAACAGTCTATGGAAAAGGCCCACGTAGTGCGGAACTCCAGCCTTCTGCCAACAGCAGCCATGTGAGGGAGTCCTCTAGGAAACAGATCCTTCAGTCCCAGTCAAGCTTTCAGAAGACTGCAGCCTGACAGACCCTGAGCCACCCCAGTAACCAGCTCCCTAATTCCTGACCCACAGAACCTATGAGGTAATAAGTGTTTTTTTGTTTTAAGTCACTAAGTTTGGGGGAAATTTACCCAATGAAGAAGACATTACCCCACTTACATAGACTGGAAAACTCAATTTTGGAAGTTACTTAACATCTAAAATTACACTGCCAGTAAATGATAAAGCTAGAGACGAAATTCAGAACTGATTCCAGAGGCCATGCTTTTTGTACTTTCCCATACAGAAGGAAAAATAAACCAAACTAGAACTGAGTCCATAAAAAATAAAACATATACAATATGCATTACAACTGCATAGCAAACTGCCCAAATGTTATCTTTGCTTGTAGAGGGTACTAGAACTGACCGCCCCTAGACCTGAGGTGGATTGGTTTAGCTGTCGGAGTTTAACTACCCCATATACTGTAACACAAATAAAAAGAGCTTTGGACTTCAAGTCAGAGAAATTCAGGCTCCACTGAGACTATGACTCACCAACTGAGTAACCTAAGGCGGGTCATTTAAAATGCTTTGAGTTTCAGTACTCACTTTTGTAAAATGAGAGTAATACTCACATAATTCACGGAGGTCTTGTGAGGATTAATTTACATCTCTGTACCAATCTAGCACATGACTGGAGCTCAGGGTCAAAAATAAACATTTAAATTGAGCTATTAGGGAAAAGAAAGGCTAGCCTTAGACTCTGGCATTATGAGTTCTAAGAAATCAAAGAGATGCTGATTAATGTGTTCCCTCTCTGTTTGCTGATATAAACAGGACTTCTGTTTGTAACTCTAGTAAGGTTTAATCAGGTCAGATACTCACAAATTTTGATTGACGGCCTATTTATCTTGATTAAG